GCTACAGTAGGGGTAGGGCAGGGGCTCTGTAGGGGACAGTTCAGTGTTAAAACAGGCGGAAGGGGGCAAAATGGGCAGAGCTCTCTGGGCCTCACCAGTCCCCATTTCAGGCCAACCAGAATCCCCAGACACATACCCCAAGGGAGAGTGCTCCCACTGTCCCGTGAGCAACAGGGCTGGGCAAATTGGAAAAGTAAGGACCCAGAAGACATTACCAGCTTCATTTGATTACTTCACATTCATTATCACTTAATAAGCCAGAGGTTACAGCACCTGGCTTCAGCTGCTGCTGCAGAGTAGTCGGCCCCAGCTCCATGCCCCAGGCAGCCTGGGCTAACCATGCTTTGTGTGGCCGACTTGGGCCTTGAGGGTTGGAATTTGGCTCTTAGTTGAAGACACACCGAGTTCTTGGCTGACCTCCAACAAGTAGTTAGGCTGATCAATACAGGCAGTGAATGCCTGAAGTAGTCAGCTCACCAGGTGGCTGCTTTAAGACCACACATTTGGGCATCTCCACTGGCAAGTGTCTCACACTTGTCCTTAAGCTGCCTGCAGGATACATTCACAAAGTGTAGTTCAAGGGGCACAGAATGCTTGAATCTCCTGCAAGTCCTTGAAGTGTAAAACATAAGCCCATTTACCTATTTTTTAAAGAAAGAAATCACAAATACATCACTCTGAGGAAAAAGGTTCATTTTTTAAATTATCTCTTTCAATTTAGAAACACACAATAAAACTTATTCCTCTCCTTCCTCCCACTTAAAGAATAGTTGAGAACCTGGTTTGAGTATTGTTTTTAACTGCACAGCACTGGCTCAGAAAGTTTCAGTAAATGCTTCAGATGAAGGCATCTTGCTTTTCACAGAAGGAAAACAGGAACAAGCGAGGAAGCTATACAAATCCCACATTTTTATGGCTCATATTTGGCAGAAGCAGGCAGCACAATTGTTTCCTCTGACTGAGAAGAGTCTTCAAAATCTGACCAAAGGCCTTCATTCAGAACAGTCTGACACTGCAGGAACTACAGAAAAGTCAGCTGTGCTGAGTATGCCTTTAGATAAGAGCCAAGGCAGCAGCCCTTGTTCAGCAAAGTGTTTGACAAACTCATCTAAACACTTCTTCCTACTTAAACACTTAAGAGTCTCCCACTTCTGCTACTTCTTGAATTAATACAAACAGCTGAAAAATCCATTTCCATCCTCTTAATAAACTTTCATAAACATATTAAGCTAGTACATACACAGCAGCAGCTTCTGATCTCCAGGACAGCCCATAAATGTTGAAGCAACAAGGCTACTATTTTTACTTCCATTCACCTCACTGTATTTAAAATCTCCATGTGTTATCCAAGTGTGGCAAATTCAGGTAAGAAAGCATTTTTCTGTTCTTTGAACTTTCTCACTCATGTTTAACCTTCAACTGTCAAGACTAAACCATCTGCAGGATGACCTAGTCTAGGTGATCCTGCTCTGGCAGGGCAGTCAGGCTAGATGACATTTGAGGTGTCTATTCTGTGATCTGGCAGTAACAAGCTGTTGCTTTCTCCTTTGAATCACACAAATTCAGCTATTGCTGTGAGTGTATTCTACTAGCATTTAACAGGGAAACATACTCCCAAATTTGCTACACTTTCATATAAAAAACCACCCTGAAGTCCACTAGCTTTACCTACATCTTAACATTTGTTAGTGAAACACTAAAATAGCAGCCTTTTGTTACAGGCAACAGTTTGGTAAACTTTATTTAAAAATCAAATCTTTGTTGTACATAGGAGATATGGAATCAAAAGACAATTGGCAGGAAACAAAAATAGACAGACTTCCAGGACAGAGAATGTCAATTTTTGCCTTACAGCAACACAGTTTAAATACATCCATTGCAGCACATTCAAGACTGTTAGAACTCTGATTTAATGCAGTTCATCAGATACTCCATAGCCATCTTCAAAAAAACCAAAACTGTATCAGTGAAGAGTAACACCTGAACACTTGAAAGATCACAGATACCAAGAATTCTTCATTTCCACTCAAGTTCAGAACTTGAGTAGAGGGGAATCCAGATTTTCTTTGTTTACATCAGGACTCAGAGTGATAAGAGGTGAACTCAAATCAATTAGCTGAAAGAAAAACAGTAAAATTTAGCTTTTGCACATTACTAGCAGCAATAATCTGTTAACAGACTTCTCAAATGCTTTTTTTTGTTTAGGACTTGTATTAATACCTAGAAGACAGATACAAGCACCACACTCAAGCTTTTATGGTCAGGTTTTTAAACATCTACTTCATTCTTAGGCTTCTCACAAGGCTTTTTTAAAAGTTTCACTACTATGCATATTCCAGTGACACTGTCCTGCAGGCATGGCAGAGCACTTCAGAACTCCTCTGCATATATCTCCAGAAGTCAGACTTCTGTGGTCCTCTTTTGACATACTTTGAAGGTCCCAATATTAAACTGTCCCCAACTACATCTAATGTTGTTAAAGGCTACATCCTCATAGTTACCACTATGCCTGACAATATCTACAAGAATCTACCACCTTCAAGCCACTAGTGTCCTACTTGCCCAGAAATTCTTGTCAAATTTAGAGAAGATTCCACACTTTCCAACTAAGGAAGTGATTAGGAGTTAAACAGGAGAGACAGTCTTGTTTTTTTCCACAAAAAAAATGAGCTGCTGCTGCCAAGAACTGAAAATTTGCAAGAAAAGGAAAACAAGAGTCAGCATGCCAACTCTACTGAAGACAGCACTCACTTCCTGCTTCAGAACAGTTTAGTTCTTTAACTGCTTTAAGCATGAAGTTCATTCTCCATCTTCCTCCTTTTCCTACTTGCAGATTGCTCCCCAAGCTCTAAACTAGAACATGTTGCAGACAAGTATATGCAGCCAGTTGACATTTTTCTGCTAGCATATTTGCATCAGATGACTTGAATATAACTTACCTTCACATGCCCTGCAAATACAGGCTTAAGAGGAGTAATCTTATTCACTTCAGGAATATTGGAAAGGTCAATCAGAGGCCTACTTTCACATTCCAAAGTGTGTGGAAGAGATTTGTCTACTCCAATGTCTACCAGTAAGGCCTTTAAAAAAAAAAAAGGGTAAGATAGTTCAGGTTCTCTCCTTTGTTCTCCATGCTTCCTTCATAAATGTTTAGGCAGTCAGTTTAGCTTATACAGCTGTAATTATCACAGGAGAGGCTTACTTTATAGGCTGGGTATTTTTCATGCAGGATTGTTTGCACACAGTGTAAAAACCTCAGCTCTCACCTTGCCAGTGGCTAGCATCACAAGTAGGGAAAATGCAGTGAGACAAAGCACAAGAGCTCCTTGGGGCGTAAAACAATTTTTCACTTAAACACAGAGTTAGTCAATTTTAAAGAGTGTAACTATCTTAATATTTATATGACTTGAGTACAGTTATTGTGCAATGTTATTTAGCCACAAACTATTCTGTAGAGCTCTGAACTTTAGTCATTCTTTTGTCCAGTTGAACTATTCTACACATGTGCTAAGCAGTTCTGTAACAGGTTAACAAGAAAAGTACTGATGTAATAACAAATAATTAATCTACAATTATTCTACACCTTAATATTTGTAAATCAATAGCCACTTTGACAGATTAATGCTTTAGAACTACTAGTTCAGTTCTTCCTCCTTAATGCCTGTGGAGTGCCAGCTTTCAACATGAAGCCATTGATTCTTAGGAGTAGAAAAGCATTCACTGGTCTAAATAAATCACACTTAAGTTTACTAGTATATGGGCTTTGGGGTTTAATCCTCACTCATCATATACAGATTTGCACAGCTGTTAGGGGATTGAATTTAGCTGCAACAGCACTTTTTTTTCCAAAAGGGCTTTATAGGTGCAATTGGAAATGCCCTGTGACTACTTTCCTAATCAAATCCACAGGGGTTTCACGGCACTTACCCAGAAGTAGAAATATAATATGAAATCTGCAAGTATTTGACCATTCAGCTTTGAGATTGGAACAGTGGAAACGGGGAACAGCTGTTCAGTGCCAAAAATAGGCACTAGAGGGTGCACATGCTTAGAGTTAATCCATTTTAAGTTTGCGTGTACTCTAGTGGTTTTCCTACTTATCCCTCATCTTGAAATAAAACTTATTTTCAAGCAGTTTACTTAATTCTGTAGAAAGATGTATTGTCATTTCTTACCTCAGTTTGTTTCTCTTCAGCCAGCTGATTTTGTACTTCAGCCTCTTTTAATTCATTTTCTACTACTTCTGAAGCAGTTTTTTCTGGTGAGAAGTTAAGAGCAAGAGGTTGCACAGGTGGAGGAGATGTATCATCTTCTGAAGAAGATATCTGCATCTTATTCTCTTTTGTCTGTTTAGAACTAGGGAAAAAGAATTGGCAATAACAGAGTTCTTTAATTAGGATTAACTACAAAAGACTGCAAGCCCAGGCCCTAACCTCATTTTCTCCTTTTTTACACCAAGTTTTAATAACCAAAATTCTTCCCTGGAAAATAAAATACATCATACTGCAATAAATTTATAGCCTACCCTTGCAAAAAAAGTGAGCTAATGACTTCAGAATGATGAAGAATTTAATCTTAAACTGATACACACACACACACACACACACATACATATATATATATATTTATGCAGCCTAAACTTCACACATGGGATTTCGGGTTTTTTAGACTTTGAAGAAACAACTAACAAATCAAGTACTGGTATTGCATATCACTGAGCAACCCACTTCAGTCCCTGCTGAGAAGAGGTACTGACAGCAGCAGGAAGACCAGGGGTTGTAATCTGATTAGTATGATAAAGTCATTGTAGAGAGTGTAATTGTTTCCTGGACATTTACCCTAAGTTACATGACACACAAGAAGAGTTTCCTAACCATGAATAATTTTGCTTTAATACTGTTTGTCTCCTGCATACATATATATGGCACTTGTGAGAAAATGTTGCCTTCTTCATATTATCAGCCCAGCATTTTCACAGAAAACAAACATAATTAACAGTGTAGGATTCACCCATTCTGCAAGCAATTATTTCAAATGAAACAAAGTTAGACCTGCTCAGAAACTAAAGCTGAGTCAACTAAATACTTGGCTTTTTAACTGATGCTTTAACAAAGTGTAATTTTATAGAAGTGTTGGCAACAATATAAAACAAAGTTAAAAGTAATATGTACTTTAACCAGCTACTTCCTTTCATCCAAAGGCAATAGGCAAAATAACACCAATGCCAAACCTGTTTTCAGCCAGAGCATCAAATACAAGTCTTAAGTTGTCTGCTAACTTGAGAAATACAAATAACTTCTTGTTAGAGATAATTCTTTAGTGTTCGATATTGACTCATCTCAGTAAGCCTTACATTATTCTGCTAGTCACAAGATATAAACCATTATTAGACCTACACAGTATCTATACTCAAATAATTTATTCTAATGTTTAGCAGATGTCCAGGAAACTTGAAATTCATCAGTAAAATTCATTTAGAGGCAGTCTGCCTACAATACTCATTTCATATATGGAGGCTTCTGACTTACCCAGCTGTAAGAGTCTTTTTGGTAGACAAGATGGAACTTTGACAGCCAAATGCAGCATGTGGAGAAAATGCCATTGTTGACACACTTTTAGGAGTCATTCCTGGAAACCCTGAGATACGACGAACAGGTGTAGGTAAGCCAGACCGTTTCAGACTTGCAGGCGTCATGGAGACAGACTTCTGAGGAAAACAAGAATTCTGAGAGACCCCATCTTCTGAGGCTTTCACAGGAGTGCTGACTGCCATGGCGCTAAAAGAGAAACATGCATTAGCCAATAGCTTCTAGAATCAGTTTGGTCAGTAAAGGAATGGTAATCCTCAAAGGTGATAATCACAGCACAGTAAGGGCTTTCCCAAATAAGAATTCTTCTATGAATGACTGTTTAGCACTACAAAGAAAATCCTTCTCTTCTGAAGAGGGTTAGGGGGGTTGTTTGGTTATGTTTGGCTTTTTTTTTGTCTGTTTTTAAATCAGTTCCAATAAGCATTAACACAGCTAACCTGGAAGGTCTCAAGGGACTAAACTTTTAAAGATTGCCACATTCTATAAAGTATGCCTCAGTACATTTGACTGTCAGTTAAGCCGTACCTTCCAAGTGTGCCACAAAATGTTAATCCACGAGATGGTGTTGCTTTTGGTGCTGATTTGATTGGTGATGTATCTAAAGAGAAAAAGGTTTGTTAATTGTTATCCACATTCCTATTAATTTTTTAATAACAGATACCTTTCAGATAAAATACTAGTTCCTTCCAAGAGGTGGACAGAAGTGTAATGAAACAAATAACAAGCATTCAAGGTAACATTTGCTTTTAATAACCAAGCTAGAAGACAGGTCATGCAAAGTTATCTGCTTACCTCCAGCCTTCACCAGAACATTAGCTTGACTTGTAGGAATGGATAAAACTCTAGTCTTAGGCTTTGGGAACAGGCTTCCTTTTGTTGTACTTTCATCTTTATTCTGCTGACATAGCTTCTGCAGACTGGGAACAGAGCTCAGCCTCTGAATTCTACCTCCTACAGCCTCAGGTGATGGTGCAGCAGATGAAGATTTAGCCAAGCTTACAGCACTAGATATTTTGGGAGTACTAGCTGATCTTTCTTGCTTCTTGGATTTCTCAGTATTGACAGCCTGCAGAGATGACACTCTGGTAGGTCTGACAAGACCCAGCCTGTTTGTACTAGATGAAAGCTTAGAGCCACTCACATTAGCTCTCGAACACATGCCTGATTTTCCTGAAATAGAAAGTTAAGTTATACTTCTCAGTCATTGCTTATTGCTAAGTTTTTGACTAAGCAGAGTAATTATGCTCACACAGGAAAGAAACACAGCAATTTACAGCATTTATGTTCAAATAAGTGTAAGGAGAACACATAACTACTGAAAACTTATTCCCCGAATTCTTGAGCAATTTCATTTGTTTGAGAAAGTCTCCTCACCAAATTTCTAAATTACTGCAATCAAGTCAAAGAATACTCTTCAAGGAATGCCAAGGCAGCTTGCAGATTCAAGTTACATTTTCAACATTTTCTCCCAGCGTAGTTGGCTCTGGTCCCTTAAACAGGCATTCAAGAAAGTAATACTCCAAGTTACACTGATTAACACCACAGGCTGAACTACACAAGTGCTTTTCTCAGTTTTCTGTATCGTTGTTACTTTTAGTCCGTAGGTTACTTTCATTAATACGATGAATCCTGACTGTTGTATAAAATAATTCTTCTTTACCTTTTATTGATATATTATTATCCATCCAGGAAACAAAGTACAGAAAAATCTGCAGTAACTTGGTATCATGATAGATCTACAAAAACTGTGGTGCTTAATACCATCAGTATTTTTAGGAGATTACTTCCCCAGTCTTTTGAGGCTTACTGAAAGGATCAAACTGATGTCCTCATTATAGTGTCAGCCTCTTGGTTATATTCAGTTATCTCCACAGATTTTGTCTGGTTTGGGGTTTTTTTGTAGTTTTGTTTTGTTTTTTTTTTTGGTCTCAAATCTGCTTGAGTAAAGCCCATCCTTTTTTTAGGCTTACAGAAACTCAGAACTAGGCCTTCCACCTTCCTTCCATATTTCAGTTGTTTTGGTGTTGGGCTGTCTTCTTCTTTTTGGGAAAACAAAGAAGAAAAAAAACCCACTCACAAAAAAACCCACAAAACCAACCCAAAACAAAAAACCACATGTTTCTGAGGCATTACTTACTTTCTAGCTGTGTCAGTCCCTCACATGCAGGCATCAAGCTTACATGAATCTAGTTTTTATAAATTATAGAAGTCTAAGATTTGTCTTTAGTCCACAGAGATTTGCTGGGCTAGCCTACAAAATTTTAATCTCAATTTTAAACATTTCTTATTGCATATATATACTGGACACCATTAAAACATATCCAAACCCACAGTCCAAGACATGCTTAGCTACTTCAAAATTGATTTGTGGAACAAATTTGTAGAAAGAGTGATTACCATTTTTTCCTATGGGAGAAATGGGTAAACTTGAATTCAGACATGAGTTCATGCTGGAAACTGATGACAAAGATGTAGTCCTTCTTGTGAGGCCACTGGCAACACCAGGAAGTTTCAGATGTGTTATCTTCTTTAAGCCAGGCTGAATCACAGAATATAGTTTACTCAAAAGCAAAAAACCCCTATTTAATCCATAATTTTGTCATGCTTTTTCTTTGTATTACAGCTTTTTATTAGTGAATTTTGAAGAAACTCCTTCCTCCAATTAGAGTTTAAAAATTGAATTTTCTTAGAAACAGTTCATTATATCTAGATTATTCCACAGAACTGGAACATCAGATCTAGGAGGTGGACTGTTATTTCCATTCCTGACCCAAACCTGAGTACAGACTTAAAGGAATAAAAGGAGCAATCCCAGGCACCAGTACCTGCTGGGCACCAACCAGCTGGAAAGCACCTTTTCAGAGAAGGCCCTTGGGAGTGCTGGTGGACATGTCAAACATGAGTCAGCAAAGTGCCCTTGCAGCCAAGGATGCTAATGGTATCCTGGGCTGCATTAGGAGGGGCACTGCCACCAGGTTAAGGGACACGATCCTTTCCCTCTGTTCACCACTGGTGAGGCCACACTTTGAGATCTGTGTTCAGTTCCAGGCTCCCCAATATAAGAGCAATTTGGAGCTACTGGAAAGAGTCCAGTGAAGGGCCACTAAGATAATTAAGGGACTACAGTATCTCTCATCTGATGAGAGGTTTAAAGAATGTGGACTGTTCAGCCTAGAGAAGAGAAAGCTCAAGGTGAATGTCATCAACATATATAAATATCTGAAAGGACAGCATCCAGTAGTGCCCAGCAACAGGAGCAGAGGCAATAGACACATACTGAAACACAGGTGGTTCCCTCTGAACATTAGGAAACACTTTGCCACTGTGAGGGTTACTCAGCACTGGCACAGGTTGCCCAGGGATGTTGTAGAGTCTCCATCATTGGAGATATTCAAAAGTCATCTGGAACTTGGCCCTGAGCAATGCGCTTTAGGTGGCCCTGCTTAAGCAGGGGGTTGGACCAGATGACCTCTAGAGGTCCCTTCCAAGATCAACCATTCTGTGAAATAAAAAGTGACTTGCAGCATCGGAAGTAGGTGTCAAAATCTTCAAAACAACTCCTGACAGCTACAGATATTCTACAAGTTATGGCAACCTTTTCATATGGTATGGTGATTAACAACACACATCAAAAACTGTTTCAGAAAATTGCTGATCGCTTACCTGCAGCTAGTGCTTTAAAAACAAAGGTAATGCTTGTTAATCCAACATATTTTTAGTTGCTCTTAAGTATGTCATTGTGTTTTGTGAACTTCAAACACACATTCAGGAACAGCAATTACAGAACAAAGACTGCTTTTCCTTATAACCATTATACACAACAAATAGCTATAAAGTTATAAAGTAAACTACATTCAGTTTTCTTCTTGTATCAAAACATCACAAAAATTGCTTTAAGAATGCTTGCCATTACCTTACTTGGTGCAGGAAGGGCTTTTTTGTTTTGTGCCGAAGAACTGCCACTGAATGAAGCCTCAAAGACATCTGAAGCTGCACTGGATTTATCAGAAGTTAGATCTTCACATGATCCTATACTGTTCAAGTGTCTTCTTGTAGAAATACTAGTATGTTTTCCTGGTTTGGGCTGCAAATTTAAATGCAGCAATTTAAAAGCTACTAGTGTTTCTAGAAACCATTATATATAAAGATTTTTACAAAAAATTTTGTTAAGAAGTCATGACAACAGTCAATGAAGCCAGTCAAGTCCTTAGTCTTTAGACTAATAAAGTTAGTCTAGTGAATGTATTTGCCAAGTACTAGAACATGCTTGAACCCAGATATTGGACATCAGCCTAAAGACAGTTCTGCAACAATTTGTCAGCAAATTTAATGGAATCATTTAGGTTGGAAAAGACCTTTGAGATCAGAGTCCAACCATGAACCTAACACTGTCAAGTCTACCACTAAACCATGTGTTCATCTACATGCTGTAACAGCTGTTCCTTAAAATTGTGAGATCTCAATTTAATTAATATTCTTCTGCTTTACTCTAGCTTTCCAAAGGATGAGACATTACAATAGCAGACCTGCATCATCCAAAGTGTCTACTTAGACAGTGGGGTACAATTTGTCTAGTTAAAAGCATTGAGACTGTCTTTTCTGATAGCACCCAAAAATCAAGAAAAGACTTACACCACAAAGGAATCAAAAGATCCCCTACTTTCTATAGGCAATGGTTCCCAAAGAGCCAATATCACATTTTCAGTAAAATCCACAGTACATACCGAGCCTAAGACATAAGGAGCAAAGCAATAAAATCCAGAAGATAGATTATCTAGAGACTAGGATTTGTATGCACAAGCTCACTAACACAACTGTTTCCTTGCTACCCTACATTTTAGTTGGTTATGTGGCCACATGCTAAATGCAATACCATTAATCAGTGCTTTTCATGACTGAGACAAGTTGTGGACAGAACTAGAAGAAGATTTTCTATCAAAATAATTGTGGGGGTTTTGCCCCTCTCACCTCCATTGTCAAGAGTTAACAGTAAAAAAAAAAACCTATTTTTGCACATTAGGTCACTAAGCACAGTGCAGTAATTTACAAGCGACAAAACAGAAGCCAGGAATGATGGTATTCACAAAACCAAAATACAGTGGAGAAGAAATTTGCCTGCAGATGCTTTACATTGTCATAACAGATAAGCTTGTTGGCTGTATCACAGTATCTGTCCCCAACTTGTTTTTTATATATAATGCTTCCTGCCTAAGGATCTTATAGAGTAGAGAAACGTTGGAATATTAAAGTTCACCTTCAGAAATAAAAGCCTATAGAAGTTTAAACACCCCTAAAACACACAAAGGCCATGTTTAAAGAAAACCTTGTTGCCCAGGAGCCGTCTTTACCTTTTCAATAGTCAACAAATTGCTTTTTCCAAGAGCAGATGAAGGTTTTGCCATTGGCAGATGGCCAGTTGTCATCGTATTTCTTTCTTTAGTTTTCTGTTCTTGTGTCAAAGGTGAACTGGCAATTTTCATAGGAGATACACAAATTTTAGCAGGGCTTCTGTTTGGAGTAGTATGAAAAGTATGTATTTTGTCATCTGTCAAAAGTTTATCCAATTCCTTCTGAAAACAAGGTGGCAGGTGACATGCTGGGCTATCCTGAACACAGTATGTTTCCCTTTTAACAGCCCTGGGACTTTTCTTTATATGTTGGCTTGTCAGTATTTTCAATTTTGACTTTGAGTCCTCCACAAATTTTTCTATAACCTTGTTTTCCTGTTCTTCTGACTGGCTTATTTCAGTCTGATCATTCTTGCTTCCAGTCTCTATTTGCAGTGCTAACAAATGAGCTTCTTTAAAAATTTCCACAAATTTATCTCCTGTAAGCGGGCTCCACATGAGTTTATCATCAGAAGCAGGCATAGTCTTTTTTTCAGCATTTTTATTTACTTCTGCATTGACAGTGACACACTTTTCTTTGTGTCCTAAAGGTCCAACAAAGACTTCATCTTCATTTCCACTACAAAGAAAAGTAAGTCAGCCCAGCATCTTATTTGTGTCCATCTTTAAGGTATATTTACCCATATACCCTTCACTTACCTTGCTGGAGAGAGTGAAAGATCAAAATCAAACTCTTCATCAGTCAGAAGAGGAACATCTGAAACTATAACAAGTATTTCATCACAGTGAGGATTTGCAATAAAAATTATTGCATCATGCTTTGATAATTTGGTGAAGCTGATGTCAGATGGCAAAGACAGCTTTAGTTATGAAGGTTAAATAACTAAAATAATAAAAATATGGTTTAGGTCAAAGAAATTGAATGTTCTGCTGTGAATATGGTCATAATTGCAATAGATGGCCCAAATATCATGGAAGATCTCAACACTAATTTTAAGCATCCATAATAGGAACTGGCTGTGGGAAAGGGTATCAGCAGCCTCAATCAAGAAAGGTGAGACTATATAATTTAGAGTTGTATGACAATGCAGTTGTCCTATCAGTCAGTTCTCTTCCAGTTATAGCTAACATATACTCTAAATATTAATTGAATTTGCAGCAGATAAGGAAAAGATAGGAGCTCAGATTTGACGTATAGAAGAGAGTTTGATGACATCATGTAGCTGCTACTACACATGCTTTAGCACCAGTGCACCAGAAGCTCTTGAGGAGGCTTGTAAGTCTAGGACTGGCAACAGCAGCCCCAAAGACTACAGAGAACAAGGAATAAAACGGATGCAGGAGGTCTACTGATCTGAACTGTCTTAACTTGTAATAGGAGATATACCAGGTAGAGAATATCCCAACATGTTCTCCACGTACCATTGCTCATGCAAATACCCAGTTTTTCTTCAGCCACATGACTTGAGCAAGGTGCTGCCATTTCTTTTCCGTCTTCCATGATGTCTGGAAAAATATAGATTTAGCTACACAATAGGTTTAAAAAAAAATAAATCAAACAATAAGACTACAGAATTCTGTGGTCCTGCCAAATGAGTAAGGAGGTAAACATTCCCTCTGAAAATTCTTACATGCTGTCTTTAGGGACAATTGCACAAACATGATTTATGGGCTGTCACATAGTTATCAAATTATCTGTGACTATGTATATGCATAAGTAATGTGTTGCAACCTTTGTTAATTCAAGTACAGCAATGATGCCTAGGATTTCTGAAACTCCTTAATGGAAACTCCGTGTTCAGCAACTAAACTTATATGAACACAGGTACAATGGGCAGCACGCAGGGAGTTGCATCCACTCCACAGGTAAAAAAACCCCTTTCTACAGCACTAACTCGAGAGTCGCATAACTCAGCACAACTCCACTCCTCGGAAGAAACGTGTGCTGTGCCTAACACAGCACCTTTCATTTGTGGTCAGAAACCCATCTAACACAATCTTCTGGGACCAAAGGCAGGCTCGCCCCTACCGCAACAGGCTGAGACTGCCGAGAGGTCAGTCAGGAGACCCTTAAAGAGAGGGCCTCATGCGCAGTGGCCAGACCGAAGGCGGACCAACCACGACCGGTCCCTCACAGAGCAGCTCGGCAGAGCCCACCCGACCCCAGGGAGGC